AGAAAATATTATGAAATTTTATTTGTCTAGACTAAGAATTAGTAAAGAAGACTAAAAAACTAAAAATTTGTATAGATTTTAAAAATAAGGATTTAATATAACGAAATTTCGAGGCACTACAACATTAAATATGCTTTTTAATCGCAATAAATGTTTTAATAAAACCGATTTGTACCGGTTATTCTTGCTTCCAACGACTCAATCGCGACGATCTCCATTAAACTGTCATGGCCGTTTGCTTGAGAACAAGTAGCTAAATCTTCGAAATATTAGCGGAAGATAATGTTCTCTCGTCGGAGAAATCTAAAGCGGCGATTCGATTTGCATCGGATGGAAAACGGAAGCCGGCGGCGAATAGATGCGCCCGTTGCTCGCAGAAACGTCGACAAAACACGTTAACGTAATACGCTACTAAAGTTTTATTGTTCGTCACTTTTTACACCCTCGCGAGCATATGATCGCCGCCGCGGCGGTTGTTTCTTAAGCAGCGCTTACGCCCGACATCCGGTTAAGCCGGTTTTTCAATTTTTGCGGACAATCTAGCTGCAAGTGTCTATCTCCGGGCAAGAACTGGCTCGATTACAACGCTAGACCAGAAAATAACTATCGGGCATCGTGCGGAGGGCCGCCGCGTTTCGACGTGTATTTTTGCTTCGAAAACATTTCGAAAATGTTCAATCGCTCGCGACGATCGCCGTTTAGATATAAAAACTATTATTAATCGAAGATACGACGCGGACAATAAGAATTCTACCTAACGTAATTAGTGCAATTTTATTTCTACTATTATTTATTTATCTTTATTACCAGTTTTATTATTTACTTATTTTTATTATTAGTTTTATTATTATTTATTTATTTTTATTATCAGTTTTATTATTTACTTATTTTTATTATTAGTTTTATTATTATTTATTTATTTTTATTATCAGTTTTATTATTTACTTATTTTTATTACTGGTTCTATTATTATTTATTTATTTTTATTATTCGTTCTATTATTATTTATTTATTTTTACTATTAGTTCTATTATTATCTATTTTATTTATTATTCTATTTTTTATTAGTTAGTTAATAGAATAGAAGTAGTTATTTTATTAATTAATTAAATAAATTGGATAATTATGATGATACAATAATATCGTTATATTATATATATATATATTTTATACGTGCAT